TGTGTGTGTGTGTGTGTGTGTGTGTGTGTGTGTGTGTGTGTGTGTGTAAAACTGAGATAGCTGCTTTTGTTAATTCAGCAAATTGACATCCACAAATACCACGGGGGAGCTGCTTGTCAACTTACGATCCGTCTTCATTGCTGCGGTAGAAGACGAGAAAGGGATCAGATTTTCCGAAGAAGTCCTTCTTATCCAGCTTGTTGCCACAGAACTGCAGCAGCACTGATTCCTGGAACGGAGGGAAGTCACCAAAATCGTGATGGTCCCAATGTGACCAATCGCTATCAAGACATGTAACATCAGACACTGTTGTTTACATTCAGTTAGAGACACATGTTGGGGAATAATTCTGATTTAAAAAGTCAATTTGGTCCTTCTGATTTTTGTATTATCACGTAAATGTAAGACTGGCCCAATATTTTAATATCACAGTACATATATCAATGAAAGTGATACATAAGTTATTTGTATACATTTTGAACCCACTTTCGTTCTGGGAGCTGATATTAAAATGTAATCTTCACCTGCCTTAAAACAGAGATTAGAAGATTAAATCAAGATTTTCAGGCTTAATTTTACCCTCGGACACTCTGACACTTGCAAATTATTACCATGATATCATCTTAAATATATAATTAATGATGTGCAGGGGTTGTAAGTTATTTATTACAATGAATTTCCCTGAGTTCTTTTAATTTTCCTTTGTTTCCCAGGATGACGGCGAGATGACCAAAAAAATGAGATGTGATCAACTTCTCTGATTGCTGCAATGCATTCTGGGATGTTGTGTGTTGCCAGGAGAGAAACGGGCGTCTCTACGGGGGTTTTCTCTCTCTTTCTCTCTGTTTCTCTTGTCATATTTTGTTGCAAAATGGGGGCTCTTTGATTTGAAGGAAGTGCGCCAAAACGACACGACATTCACCGTTTGATGTTTTCATCAGAGAGAATAAATTATAAATCATCTATCACGCTTCACTAGCGATGTCTTGTAGTGAAGTGATGCATCTGCAGGTGGCAGAAACACCAACAAACTAGAGACCATCTTATGATGGGATGGAACTAGCTGCGACGCCAAATCGGGCCAAGGGGGTAAAGTGGTGGAGCCAATGGCCCCTTTCTAACTTCCCACCTCCCTAATTCCTGCGCCCTTGCTTGGACCACACCCATCTTCAAGTTCAACCTTCATTTTTCGAACAACTGCACATCTGTAAAGCGTCATGAATGCATCTTGCATCTTGCGGCGCTATCGCGGTCAGAATAATCTGTCCACAGACACACAGACTCACCAGCGTCACAGCTGGAAATGACAGAACACGACCAGAATGGAGAGGAAGACTGAACAGGGTCCAAATGTTTAAGATTAGTTTTCTTTTCTTTTGAAATAGAGATTCAAATAGACACAGTCACAGTCTGGCTCATCACAAAGTTCAACTAAAGACGTGGCAACAGTCTGCTTTATCTTTCATTTAAATCCAGTCCTCTGAAACTGGTTTAAAACTAGCAGCAAGAACAAAAGTGTTGTTTGTTTCTTTTGTCTCCAGAGGGAACATAAATGAAAACCATACTTTCTCTTTGCAAACGTAACTACAAACCTGTTAAAGTGAACGTAACTTATTAAAATCCAGCACAGTGTCTGCTCTGTGATGATGCTTAATGTTTCCTCTGGCTGGTAGTAGTACAGTGGTACTGTTAGGAAATAATGCCTTTGGTGCATTCTTAAAGCAATGAGTGCTAAAAGGCATAGAAGGACAGTGTTAACATCTATGATAATATATATATATATTTATTGTTTTACACTCAGCAGTCTAACACATACAGCTCTGACATAGCCCTGGTTTCTTCCTTTTTTTCTCCCTGTTGAAGGAGATATTTGGGGGAGTTCTTCCTGTTCCGATGTGCGGGACAGAGGACGTCGTATGCTGTACAGAGTGTAAAGCCCTCTGAGGAAAATTTGTGATTCGTGATTTCGGGCATTACAAATACATTGAATTGGTATGAATTGAAAAATAAGATGTAGGTTATAATGTTCAGATTTAGTTGATTCCACTACTTTGTGGTGTTTTTAAATTGTTACCGATATAAATGAGATAAAGGTGGAATTTATTGCAACAGTGTTATATAACTTTTAGCGAGTTATATGTTTGTATAAAGCAAATAATCGACCCAACGTGTGTCTCCTAGTAATTCAGAGTTTGTATTTGAAACTGTGTGGAGTAGCCGATGGGTCAGACGTGTCACTTTAAATGATGTAAAAACCAGACGCTTGGTCTAATTGGAGGAAAGTATCTGAAAAGTCTGAAAGTTTGACTTCAAATGAATCGCCAGGGGAACCGAACAGACTCTTACCCTGCAGTTGCTCAGCTCTTCTGCTCTCACTATGATGGTGCCACATTTCTTCCCCGGGATCCCGCTAGAAGAAAAGAGATAAAAACAAAATATTCCCTTTACGTCCAAGTAGCCAAAGGCCTCAAACAACATCTGTGTGACAGGTAGGACAATGGCTTGAAACCACAGAGTTAATAATGTTCAAACAACGAATTAAATATAATATACAGAAACTACATTGTATTATTGTTCATTTTGAACTTTTGCATGTCATGTTTTATGTTTTTGTTTCTTCCATCTTCTTTTCATCTCAATCTAAAAACACAACTATGTGCACTATATAACCGCATCGTGCTTCATGAACACTGAAAGAGGGGAACTCCGACCCGTAGTGAGCTTTACTGCACATACTGAACGTAGTGGTTTGTTGATTCACAAGGTCCCACTTCAATACGATTTCCGATTTGATTCAATATCGATTTGATTCTGGATATTTCAGGTACAACACCAATATTACTTGGATATGAAAGAGATTCTCAGAGATCTAATGCTGCACATTTTACAGGGAACTCTCTAACCTGGTGCATTATTAATAGGCCTACAAATGAAAATACATAAAATAAAAAAATACATACATATATTAATATCCTTATTAAGAATTGAGCCTAGAGCTGACCCCTACACTTTACGCCCCTGTCCCAAAATGCAAAGAGCAGACGAAAAAACCCAGCTTACACTTTGATGTTTGCAGTGCGACTGTGTAAAAAGGGACAAAGTCGGGTTTATGTTTACATATTACGTCGTTGGTATAAGAGCAGCGTAATGTGTGCACAGAGCAGCTGTCACACATCCACGGGAAGAGGCATAAACCTGAGATCAATCTTTCAATCACTCGATATCGGATCATTCAAAGGATCAATTTGAATCAACTGTATAAACCGTTAATGTAGAAGCACTTTGCTTGAGCTTGAACTGGATTTTGTTGTACCGATGGAGTTGAATATTCTCAATCCACCCTTATAAATAATGTCTTTCTCTACATGCAGCATTTCCACCAATCAAAAATAGTTTCAGGCAAACAGAAACTCTATGAGAATGTCAGATTATTCTGCTGTTAAAATGTCAATTAAAAGTTCAAACCGAACAAAACTCTATCAGCTGAGCCCCCTGCAGAGCTGGAATCAAATTCCTCTTCTTCTGAATGTCTCTCACATTTATTTGCCTGATTGTCTTAATACATATTAATATATGCAGAATCAACACCTTCAAAAAAAGAACATCTACATAACGTAACCACAGCCGGTGACATTTCAGCTGCAATGTTTGTTTACGTCCTGAGCTGGCGAAGCGTAACATTGAGCCAATAAAGCCGAGGGAGACTGACCACTAAAAATAGACCCAATGAATGCCACAGACCGCGGGCCTGATGCAGAGCGAGAGGAAGTGGGAGAGATAATTTCATTTGGCTAAGGACTGTCCAGGACAATAACAGACGTGGAGAGAAACCGACGGCAAATTGAAGCGAGGCTTTGATACTCCCAGCCCCCCCCGTCACCTGAGACGGACCGCCGTCCCTTTGATGCACGGGGGAAGCATTCAGTGAAATGAATTCACTGTACGAGCAGAGAGATTGCTCTGCGAGGGGGCGGATGGGGAAAATGGAGACGTGTAGCGAGAGAGGGAACAAGAAAGGAACTGGAGTCTCCAGAAAGATGGAGAGAACGAGAGGCTGTTGAGAGAGAGAGAGGCACATAAATGGGATTTTAGACTGCGATAACATTGTGTGCTGATAATCCATACCTCACATATTAAAGCAGATATATCTGTTCCCCTAGAATGAAAAGGCAGCATGTTATCATACTCAAAGTTGTATTTAATAACCAAAATGGTTATTTATTTTGGTTTAATGTCGGGTTTTCTTTGACTGATATTTTGGAAAGTGTACACTTTATGTATATTACTACTATCCACAGTTTGTTCTGTGCCACTGTCCTGGATGAACATGAAAAGCAGCAGTTTTTGCTGTATCGTGACTACTGCCTCAGTCCGTGTGTCCGGTGAGCGGTTGGTTATTCAGGCCTGTCGTGGTGGAATAGCTGTCAACACTGTGTACAATACTCTGAGTGCAGCCTCCCCGGTTCGATTCCCGTCCAGAAACCATTGTTGCACATCATTTACCGTCTTCCTCCCCCTTATTTCCTGTCACCTTTCTACTGTACACTTTCAAATCGAGGTAAGAAATGCCGCAAAAACTTAATTAAAATGTCAGCATTCAAATCCAAAGCACGCAGTCGTGTGTTCTTCATGAAATGAGACAGAAAGTTAAGCTGATTACAGTCCAACTCTTGATTTCGCATAATTATTTAAATATTCTCAACTTTTCAGCACCAGGCTGCGATGTTAACACTCTGAATGTTAAATACAGCTTCTTTAATTAATAAACTGTGTGGAAGAGACTGGAATCATTCTTTTATGTGTGAGGCAACACCATTCTTAACTTAAACATTGCTTTCCTAACTTTGTCAAACTAAATGCAACAAATAAATACATAGATACACATTTACTTAATTGTTATTGATTATTAAAATAATAAATCGCACACCAACGACTTGGTAAAATATCGTCAAAATGAACAGGAATTGCAATTCAAGTTTATATCTTAGTTAAAAATAGTATAACTCTGTTGTCAACTATATCTGATCCAGCTACTTGAGTATATTTTATTAAGTAATTAATTGAATCTGAAACACTTATATCATATGAAACATATATCGGAATATCAGTATGGGTGCATCGCTAGTTGAAAGAAATAGGAAAAGGTTTAACAAATGCCCTCACCGTGGTAAGAGTGTATTTTAAATTCCTAAATTTACATCTGGATACGATCCACCAAAGAGCTGACAGGGTTCTCTGATACTTTGGTTACTGAGCGTGACACAAAAACAGAGTTAATGACAGACTTCTGTGACTCAGGATGTGAAATGCTCTCAGAGTCACTGAGGCTCATTTCGATGCTAAACGAGACATAATCTAACAATGACACGGCTGTGTGTGTTTGGAGCGTATTATCGTCATCTCAGTCCTCTTTGTTGCTCTTTATTGTCGTGATGCGCCTCCACTCGACCGAGCAGAAGTGTGATGCTTCTGACTTGAGATGTGTTTCTTTGTGTTTCACTCAGAGGCAGTTTGAGTACACACACACACACACGCACACACACACACACACACACACACACAACACAAAAAGTTGCACAAAGTTACAAACAAGCATCATAGAATAATAAAGAATATCTAAAAATATCTTCACATATCAGAAAAAGAGGCTAAAACAGACTGGATGACTGCAGGCCGAGGTGATTACGTAACACGGCGACAGAAACACATTCTTACATCATGTCATTCTTCAGAGCACCAATTCAGCTGCAGCCGCTCATTGATTCTGCCACACACACACACACACACACACACACACACACACACACACACACACACACACACACACACACACACACACACACACACACACACACACACACACACACACACACACACACACAGACAGACAGACAGACAGACAGACAGACACACAGACAGACACACAGACATGAATGTAGATGCCATTAGTCTCTCTCTCTCTCTCTCTCTCTCTCTCTCACACACCCACACACACACACACACTGACAGACAGACAAAGATGAATATAGACACCAGTAGTCTCTCTCTCTCTCTCTCTCTGTCTCTCACACACACACACACACACACACACA